GGTAGTGTCTACCAAACTTTTTCCCCTATTACAGCCTCAGAAAGTTAAATGAACTAGACAGATGGAGAAGAAATTGAGCTCAGAAAGCCACTCCATAAAGCTTTGGAACTCTGAGACTGATCACCAAGGTGGGTTTGTATGGACCTGCTCCTAATCCATGCAAGGATGTTGAGAAGGAACTCAAGGACAGACCACTAGAGGGCACATATGCAGAAAGAGCCAAACGGCAGTGCATAATAGTTGAGAACTGTCAAACCCACAGTCCAGGGCCAGGGATATAGCTCAATGGCACAAGCGCCTGCCTGGCAAGTGCAAGGTCCTGAGTTCAATTCCCTGTACCAAAAAAAAGTCGAAACACAGTCCATCCAGGGCTGGTGGAAATGTGTGGTCTGATCAAACTGGGCCATTTGCCTACTCAAACAAAAATATAACCGTTCTCCACAGGAGTTAAGAACCATAAGGGTCATACATAATAATTAAAATCCCCAGGGCAGAATCTAAAATTACTTGCCATCTAAGGAATCAGAAAAATTGTAACTCTCATGGGGAAAGACAACCCCTAGATACTAACACCAAGATTACACAGATATTACAATTACATGACAAATTATCATCAGTCACAGACGACATGATCCCCAGTGTAGAAGACTGAAAAAATTCCCCCCAAAGACACTCCGAATAAAAAAAAAAGGATTAAAATTTGTTATGTAGATTTGTACCAACTCCCAACGGTGAATGTCATAATTATGTATTGCAAGCATGTATTAATAAAAATAAAAACTAAAAAAGAATTACATGACAAAGATTGTAAAGCACCTACTATACAAATACTCTAACAAGCACTCACAAATATTTCTGAAGCAAATGAAGAAATGCAAAATCTCAGCCAAGAAACAGAAAAAGCAAAAGGAAATTACAGAATTGGAAAATACAGTAACTGTAACTAAAACAAAGCAAAACACATTTAGATAAGCTCCAAAGCTGACCGGGGATGATAAAGGAAAGAATCGGGAAGGTTGATGATGGATTAATAAAAATATACAATCTGAACAATAAAAAGCAAAACACCTGATAAAAACTGAATACCGCGCCTCACAGACTGGGAGCACCACAACAAGCTCTGCTGCTGCTGTCATTAGAATTCCATAAAGAAGAAAAAAGAGAATAGGACTTAAAAATATTTAAAGAAACATGTATTAAGTATGGCAGAACACAGAGCCTATAGATTCACATAGTTCCGAGAACCCTAAATGGGATAAATTCAAAGAAATCCACACACAGACACCCAACATCATCATCTAAATGCTGAAAACTAACGACAAAAAAACAACAAGCTTCAAAGCAGCTGGAGAAAAATGAAGCGTAACCTATGGGGAAACAATCCAAAGGATGGTAGGTTTCTCTCTGGAAACCAGAGAAGCCAGACGGAAACAGCACATGTAAAGTGCTTAGAGAAAAGAATTGTCAACCCTGAATTCTCCACGCCATAAAAAATCCTTCGGGAATCAAGGTGAAATGAAGACATTCTCAGATGAACGAAAACTGAGAGAATTTGTTGCCAGCAGACCTGCTTTTAAAAAAATGGTTAAATGAAATTGTTCAGTCAGAGGGAGATGATATCAGAAGGCGACCTGGAATAGCAGGAATGAGGGAAGACTAAACTCAAATGGTAACTGTTGTCTGGGTCAACATGGCATTCTCCTTGGGGTTCTTTAAAGCATATTGGAAAATTTAAAGCAAAACTTAAAGTACTGTTGTGGGACTTTTAACGAATGTAGATTGACTATGTAACATAAACAGATCCACAGAGTAAGGTTTCTGCATTTCCCCTTGAAGTGGCGCCATATTGATTCAGAGCTGTCTGTGGAAAGATCGAGTGGTGGTTTTGGGAGTTCTCAGCCTGATCCATCATGAGAAGGCTCCTCATCAATTTTTCACCTGCAGGTTTCAGCAGCCACTGATGATCGTTACCCAGATCCATTCCCCACTAAAGGGAATGAAACCTGTGCTCTAATTCTCTCTTTCTTCTCTTGGATGTTTATTTTCTTAAACCAGCTATCTGATTACTCTGAAGTATAATGCATATAGGAAGGGGAGGATAAGTGTTTGATTCTTTCCTTTCATTTATCAGTTCACACAATAATGAGTTAGAATCACTAATTTTAAACAGCAGAAGAGAGAGAACAATTTTGGTTTAATCCCCATTGGCATATTAGATTAGATAAAATTTACTCATTTAGATAAATTAAAGACCAACATCTAAACATGTGAACTGTACAGGGTCCTTAGTTATGGTAGTATGAAGGATGACATAATCATTTTGAGCATGTATGGTGATGTGTCATGCTGCTTTTTACTGTCACTGGATCACTCTCTTGTATTGTGTATGTGTGTGTAAAACTTCTCCCTAAGATTATAAGATTCCATGACAACAGGAAGCTGAGATCAAGCTGGTACATACTCACCAAAGGACTAAATGAGCTATAAAAGAAATATTCCTTGGAAATTCCAAGTCAAGGCAAAATTCTAATAAATACAAGCTTTACTTCTATATTTTAAAAACCACTATAATATATATATATATTATATATATTAAAATCAATTATCACAGGCCAGCCACAAGACTTTTGCATATGTGCTGCCAAAGTGAGCACAAGCCACAGGACCTTTGATATTATTTTATCTGATTCTCTCAAGCACACCCTGTTTAGACACAAGGAAGCCACCATGGAGGGAGATGCTTCTTAGGGGAAACACAAATGCTGGTTCAGCTCTGGCCCCTGTCACGGCCCTCAGCTAGGACTCTACCCTACTGGTCATGTGAGTCTTTCCTGCTCAGGTGGTTTCAGTCTTTCTGCTAAACACAAGAAGTTCTCACAGGTCTTCCAGGTTCCTGTCACTTGAGATCCAGAAGATGAAATGAGGCAATAAAATGCATGTGGGAGAATGGTACACTCCCTATGATCCCATAGCAGCAGACATACCAATGACAGTTCCCTGGGACAGCAGGATAACACGGGAGGAAGCCGCCCTCCTCTGCAAGGAGGGAAATGTCAATCTATCGAAACAGTATGTCATTAAGACTTACACTTTGGAAAAGGATTATTAAAATAAAAAATGGTCACAATAAGGATGGCACTACAATTAAGCACATTAAGTAAGAGAAACGGGGGGGGGGCGGGGAGAATAGAAAGACAGACAAACGGAGACAGAGATACATGGGCACCAAATTGCCCAAGTGTTAGCAATTCATTCTAATCTATGTGATCCTGGGATGTTTTATTTTCTTCTTTATACATTTTTGTCTATTGCAAGTTTTTTTTTTTAATACTCTAAAGTGGAAAAGGCTGCAAAACTAGGGAGGGACGAGTGAGCAGAGGACAGGGTTTCTAGGGCAGTGAAGCTATTCTATCCAGTACAGTAGAGGATCGTGTCACTGCACACCTGCCCAACCCACAGGAGCACACCACCAAGAGCGAATCCTAACAGCAACTGTGAGATCGTGATGGGTCCGAAAAGATCCATCAGTGGCCCGAAGTCTACTCCGCTGTGGGACGTCAAGAGTCAGCGAGGCTCTGAATAGGCTGAGAAGGGGCGCGTGGGAAATCACTGAACTTCTTGGTTCTGCTGTAAACCTAAGACTGCTCAAGAATAGTCTCAAATGTAAGCGTAGAAAATAAGAGGCCAAGAGATGGAGGGAGTGGGGATGGAGGAACAGAGAAGGGAAAGTAAAAAAGCATTAAGATGTGTTACGCACAGGCACCAACTGCCCCCTGATGAATGTGATTGTTATATACCGCAAACATGCACTAATAAAAATGTACACAATTAAACAAAAGAATCAGTATATATACTGACATCATATACATATGCAAATGCATATATATATGAAAATACATACATATATATATGAAAATAAACGTGCATCTTTGCTCTGACCAGCAATAGTCACAAAGGTGCAAGCTGTGTCTCGTATTTTGGGGGAAAGGAAAGAAGAGACAGTGTCCAGAGGGACCAGCAGCAGCAGACAGGAAGCAGCTTGCCCAGAGACCTGGAACAGAGTGACAGGTGGGGAAGAGACACCTGAAAGTACCGAGGCTGTGGTGTGCAAAGTCACTGGACACAGCGACAGCAGAAAGGAAGAGATCTCACGTCTCCAGGCCAGGGAGGAATGAAGCCTAATAGCAAGACTGCCAAGAGTCAAGGAAGGATGAACGTGTGTGAGTGTGTATGTATGTGTGTATGTGTGTGTGCGCATACGCACACGCTAACACCATGAACGATTATATAGTAGGTAAATTAATCAGGGTAGCCAGAGTGAAGATATTTTTTCTATAGCCCTGGGAATGTTTCAAGAACATACTCTTATAGGACATACATCATTAATAAATAAGCACTTCAAAAAAGAATTCAAAGTAAGCAGGAAACCAAGCAAGCACACAGACAACTCCGAGTCATTCTGATGAGGGTTTGAGTGGACCTAGGCTGGCTCTGCACTGCTGGGCTGTGTGGTCCTGGGTGAGTCCCCCCGCCACACACACACACACACACACACACACACACACACACTGGAGACTCCTTGTCTGCTCCCTGGACATAACACACCTGGGTCACTTGGCAGCCAAGCCGGGTCTCTCTTGGACTTCAGTGCACTGCCAATGCAGAGCTAACGTTGGAACCAGTTGGGCCAAGGGCACTTTACCAAGTCCCCATAAATGGTAGCTGGGCACTTCCAGATTTACACAACAGAGACGTGCAAAGAACAGACAGGGGCAGGAACAGCACACAGAGTGCTGAGTGTGAGAGGCACAGTGAAGTCCCCAGGACAGGCGAGTCTGGCCGGTTGCAAAGAATAAGAACCATGGTGTTTGGGGCTGGGGATTTAGCTCAGCGGCACAGCGCCTGCCTGGCAAGCCCGAGGTCATGAGTTCAATTCCTGGTACCAGAAAACAAACAAACAAACAAAAAAGAACCATGGTGTTGGAGCCCTGGGCACTTACTGCAGTTCTCCTCGTCACTGCCGTCGGGACAGTCCTCAAACCCGTTACACCGGAAGCGGCCAATGATGCAGTGGATTCCGCTAGCACAGGGGAAGAAAGTGGGGCCGCACTTCGATTTAGCTTTGGCTGTGGGGGAACAAAAGGACAAACAGTAAGACATCAGGACAATACGTTCTCAGATCACCGCTCATCTGGCACGCTCTGAATGGGGTTTGTCTTGATGTCCCCACAAGGATTCCTAGTGTATCACCCGCCTAAGCTCCCAGCCAGTCTGGATACCCCATGCAGCATCCTATGGGTAGGAAATGGCTAACCCTGCGAGCCACAGCCTTCCTACCACAGCAGGCACTCAACCAAAGCATGGAGAAGAAGCAATGGCTGCGTGAATGGGTGTGCAGAAGGATGATGGATGGAGCTTGCCTCTTAAGGTGCCGAAGAACCAATCAAACTCCCTGGGTACCTCAGAGGTCTCAGCTGTCAGTTAATGAGTGTTTACTGTGTTAGACTGGGTGTCGAACGCTCTGCTTGGATTGTCTCATAGAATCCACCCAGCAGCTCCCCAATGGGAGGACGTGCAGGAGAGTTAGTACAACACCCGCAAGACTGCAGGCCTCACAAAGCCTGCCCGCGAGGGTGGCTCCTGCGCACGGTAGTCGGGGAACTTGGACAAAGGGAATGAGGGTTTCCATCACCCTGCCTGGTAAGAGTGGTCTCCACACTGTGCCTAAATAGTCAGTGCGAACTGTACAGTTTAGGCTGGACACCAGCTTTCCTGTGGGAGGCTGCAGTTTTGGTAGACAGAAGGTGTCAGGAGTCAGCAGCCCTGGATGAACACCCTGGCCAGTGAGTCTCTAAGGAGTCTCCCCGGTAGACAGCCTTTCCCACACATCGCATCGTTACACCTGCTGCTAGGGGAATTCAGTGCACCCTGTGTGCTACAACAGGACAAGACTCTGGGAAGCTGAGCTGGGTCTCCCCTGGACTTCAATGCATTCACCTGGGCCTTTGCTGACTCTGCATTCTGTCCTCCGCTATAATGAATCACGGCCGTGACATGACCAATACTGACTTCTGTGAATCCTCCCAGGAAACTGCTGAACCTGGGGTGGCCTTGGGAGACCCCACACACAGATGGCAATGGCGCCTCTCCCCATTTCACAGGTGCGCCTGGAGGATAAAGGGATGCTCCCAAGGCCACACAGCTGGAGAACCTCGAGCCGGGGTGAGGTTCCGGCACAGGCTCCGGAAGCCATAATCTCAGTCAGCTTGATGGTGCTGCCTCGCTGCCAAGGGCAGTCATTTTCTGCAACAGGAGCCAGACTCCTGCTCTGAGGAAATTCGTCTTGCACTCTTGCTGTACAAACAGTTTGAACACAAACGGTCGTAACTCAGGCTTGATTGAATGCCCTGCTAAAGCAAACAGCCCTGTGGGGTAATGGGCTTTCTTTTTAATGGTGCTTGCTGCTCTGGCCGGCAATTACAAGGTGTAAGATTGGATCTAGGCTGCATCCAGGTAGCAACGCTACCGAGCATCCCTAGCGTCTCCAAGTTGAGAGGCAGGACCCACAGTCCCCACAGAAGGAAGGGCCATTTCTCTGGAACAAGCAGGCAGTAAATTACCTCCATGTTCCTGCTACTGGTAACATGCTAACTTTAGCAACAGCCAGGTCACAATCAACTGAGTGTGAAACCTTGGGCGGTACCCACGCTCAGAAACCCCACACGACTGTGCTTCGCTTGGCCCTTCTGTAATAATGTGGGCATGCTCTCTGCAGAGCACAGTCTCCAGGAAGTCTGGATTTCAGACTTGAGCTCCATCCTGATTTCTAAATATTGCTGAGCCTCAACATCCTCACCAGCAAAAGGAAAGTAATGCTGACTTCACAGGCCTCTCGAAAGGAGTCTGTGATAATCTGTACAAGACACCTTGTGTACAGCACGGCATACGGCAGCAGGTGCTCCATAAATAGATGCTTCGCGCTATCTGTCATCATCATCACCCTCATTCAGTTTGCAGAATTTAAACACTGACCTGTGGGATGTTAGGAATTATTTTCTGCTTATAATAGTTCAAAAGAACTCATGACAGAAGATGTCTATGAGTGAAATATAGTCATTTCCAAAATATAGTGTTAAGCAACACACAATAGAAAACCAGGTACAAAAGAGTATCTATAGTACATTTTCTGTACATAGAGAGAGGGGTGAAAGCAAATATATATGCATCAACTCATACACATGAAAGAACTCCAGGAAAGATAAACAAGAAACTGGGGAAAGTGGTTAGCAACAGGGGGTGCGTACAAAAGAATGCGAATAATAGGAAACTGGGAACAGAATAAAGGAACAAGGATCTATTTGTACACATATATTCAGTATATCTATGGATCTCAGCATTGATTGTACCTAGAGAAGTGTGTATCTTAGAACCATGATATTTCACTCATTCCCAAATGAAAAACTAGGATCCATTCCATGGGTTGGGGGTCACTCAGTGGAATATAAATACCAAATAAATACAGTGCTATTACAAATGAATAGTATTACCATACTGAAGAAAATAGGAAAGAAAAGAACCTGCCTGCGTTACTGGTAAAACATGAGCTTCCTGGATTCTGTAAGGCTGAAGAAAAACAAAAGAACTATACCTAAACAACATATTTGTCTAGAATAGCAATTTTGAAACTACTTTTTGGGTGTACAAGGGTTGAATGAATAAATAAATACACTGTGCATAATAAGAACAAGATGTCTCATTGTCTGGGGAAAGAAGGTGCAAATCAGGAAAGTAGGAAAGTAAAAAGAATCATGAGGTTTTGGACTGAGATTGCACTCCAAGGTTTTAAAACTAAGCAAATAGAGTAACTCAATAGATAGACAGATGGGGGAGGCTGATTTGTGTATGTATGGATTAGTACACACACATATATATTATCTAGCTCTGTTTGTTAAAAACAATGGCACCCAAATACCAGCAGGCATATCTAGCCCCCAGCTCTTCATTTCTAAATATTATTAACCAGTAAATAGACCCAGGCTCCTCAGAGAAGTGGTTGATTTCAGATGGGAAAAATGACCCTGTGGTTCTGAAGTATCTTGTGTTGCCCCAAAGTAAAGAAATACTCAAAATGTGAGGCAGGTCAGAAGTTCCGAATGGCCAACACTAGGACAATCTAAGCAGCAAAATAAACAATAGTTTTCTGGATTGTAATCCAGAGAACAAAATGTTTCTTAGGTTTCTGAGAACACACTGATGCTAAAAAAAAATGTTGAACAAGTCAGTAAATGACAGGTGAGGGTTAATTCCTCCAGCCGTAAGAATTCCCATTAATAAATACAGAATGTGGGAAACAGAAAGTCACCAGTAAGTAAACAGCACAGACTATTTCCATCACTACAAAATCCCCCATGCTGCCCAACAATCACTCTCCTATTTCCACTTTTTTATAAATCCTGGCAACCAAAGTCTATTCTATATCTCTCTAATTTTGTCATTTCAAGAATGTTATGCAAGTGGAACCATACACTCTATAACCTTTTGGGAGTGGCTTGTTTTCCATCAGTGTAAATCTCTGGAGAAAACACATATGATTTTGTACCCTAACTGATAGCTGTTACACAGGCAAGACCCACCCATGGATCCAAAATGAGAAGGTGAGAGCTACAGGAGAAATGGGAAATGTGCACACTTTCAACGAGGCAATATGTTTATCATGTTGCCTTTTATAGCTATCACCATTACTCTACCACCAACATGTTTATTAGTTATAAAGGGAAAATAGTGACTTCATGGTAGAGAAACCTGGCAGACAGCAGCTTAACTGAGTTATCCTTGTCAACATGACAGCAACAAGACATATCAACAGCGTACTCCCCCTCAATCAAGGAGCCGAGAAGGTCGTCACGTCACTGCTGTGGAATTCTTGCAAAGCAGAGATGCATGCTAGCAAAAAAATCATAGGAACACCTCAGACAAGCCCAAAAAGAAGGTCGTTCTACCATGCGACCAACCGGAAATCTCCCAGGTCATGAAAAACTTTGAAATCATCCAGTATTGGAGGAGATAAGAATACTAAATGTAGGGCCAAGGATATAGCACCTGCCTGGCAAGCGCAAGGACCTGAGTTCAATTCCCAGTACAAAAAAAAAAAAAAAAAATTAAATGCAATATGGCGTCCTGGAACAGACATTAGTGGGAAAACTGCACAGATACCAATGCAGTTCCATAGTATAGCTGATAGCATTGTACCAGTGCGGATTCTTATTTTTGAAAACTGTTACGGCTACACACGACATTAGTAAGTGGAAGGTGGGTAAACAGTATGAGAACTTTAGCATGAGTTTTGCAACTTTCCTGTGGGGCCGAAATTATTTCAAAATAAAAAGCTATAATCATATTCATTGTGGAGTACACAGAAATAGAACACAGAAGAAAGAAATTACCTCTGATCTCTCCACTCCCAAGTAACTATAATTAACATTTTTCTATGCTGTTGATATCAGAATGCATATTTTAATGTAAATTTTTAAATTTTGAGATACTTGCAGATTCACATGGAGTTATGAGCAAGAATACAGAGAGAGCCCATACACGTTTTTCTCATTGTCCTCCATTTTAAGACGATAGGACACTATCAGAACCAGGACACTGACACTGATACTGTAAAACGCAGAATATTTCCATCACTACAAAATCTCCCATGCTTCCCAACAATCACTCTCCCATTTCCACCTTTTTATAAATCCTGGCAACCAAAGTCTATTCTATATCTCTCTAATTTTGTCATTTCAAGAATGTTATGCAAGTGGAACCATACACTCTATAACCTTTTGGGAGTGGCTTGTTTTCCATCAGTGTAAATTTATGGAGAAAACACATATCATTTTGTACCCTAACTCTTTCACATACAACATAAATATTTTTCTAGTATTTTTGTAGTTGCAAAAATATTTCATCTTATCGGCACAATGAAGTTATTTTTGTCATTTCCTTTATGTCGGGTGGTTGGTGCTATGATATGGACGTGGCTTGTCCTCCAAAGGTTCATGGGTCAGATGCCGCATCTCCAACATGGTGGTGCTAGGAGGTCGTGGAACCTTCTAGTGCAAGGTAATTAGGTGGCTGA